AAAAATCGTTGAGCCGTTTTGGCGGAAGTGACGAACTGCAAGCTTTGAATGCTTATATCTTCTAAATGCGAATTTTGTCACTGTTTTGGAGCACACTGCCTTATAGATAACCTTAAGACTAACATATTGATACTAACACCCAAAAAACTTTAATTTAGATTTCATGGGGACTTTAATGACAGAATTTAAATTTTTGGGTGAACTATAACTTTAAGTATCCTGACAACATAGTTTAAAGAGGTCATATGATGCTGCTAAAAAGAACATTATTTTGTGTATTTGGTGTAATGAAATGTGTTTATGCGATTTAAAGTAAAAAAAAACATTATTTTCCACATACTGTACATTATTTTTCTCCTCTATGCCCCGCCTTTCTGAAACGCTGGATTTGAGACTTTAGTCTTTGCAACTTTACAGATCTTCTTTATGTACCAAGAGCTTGTAACACTCCAAAGAGAAAGGAAAAATTGAAATCGCATCATATGACCCCTTTAAATATGTCACTTGCCGCAATTCTTTCGATTGGAGAAGATTTCTGTACAGCGTCATGGGAAATGCAGTTTTTCACCACAAGCAAAAATAATAAAGCAGATGGCTTCAACAAAAGCATATGCCATCGATTAACAACCTTGTAGCTCACAAAAGGACTGTCTTTGATGGTTTGTAGGTTATTGTTAAAAAAAAATCTCTATGGAGAAAATGAACAGGTTTTTACCTCCAGAACCCGACTGTCACACTCTATTATTAATTAATCATTGGTTTTACAGTTCTTTTGGGTGCCATAGTGGTACATCAGTAGTTTACCTTAAAAAAATGCTATTGGTTATTTCTACAAAGAACACACACTGAGCAATAATACAGTGGTGGCAATAATAATAGGGCATGTTGTGAGACTACATGAGGTAAGTGATAAAAAAAATATAAACACTAAAACAGTTATTAAATGAAAAAAAGAAAGAAAAAAAACTGTTTGCTCATCTGTGGTCTGCAGCTAATGGTAACAATGCTGCATTCAGTATATTTATAGAATGGTTGTCAAGCACACAGTTCAGTGTTGCAAAGGAAGGATACAAAGAACTTAGAGGGTGCTGCAGCAGTCTTCTGTCTTACTGAGAAGGCGTTTGGGTGGTGAGGGTCATTGTTCTTAGTCTACAAAGAGCCGGCGTGGGGCAGCTGAAACATAGATTCACCCTCTCCAACTATTAATTACTCAGGCAGTCATCCAGTAAGCTCCTTATCACACGCAGCTGCCACTTTCATCAGAGCTGTGCAGCATTAGTATCACTGCTGGATTGTTACCACAACTTCCCTGAGTCCTTCAGTTTGTTGTGTGTGTGTGTGTGTGATCATGCGGCAATGTTCTTTTAAGGTTACCTAACTCAGTTCAAGTCATACTCTATATGCGAAATCCAAAATTAATTTAGTTCTTGAATATTTGCATTTGCATATCCCATAGCAGTTCATATGAGTTAAAATTTTAGAAAAAAATTTGTCTTGAGCAAATTCTAGATTCCAAAGTGAATAGATTATATGCATCCAAAATAGAGCCTTGTTTATTAAATATTCAAAAGAGCTGTAATAAACCACAGGAACCATAACACAAAATGAGCATTTGCTGTCATGCTTTAACCAGTGTAAAGAGCTGCAATGCAGGAAATACACGGACAGTGCAAAATTAAGCCGCTTGAGATAAATATGCAAATATCCTCCTGGCATATTTAAAATGTAAACATCTTCGGTTAATAATATCACTGCTTCGCCTACCTACATTCTCTCTGTAATCCAAGAGCCACGTGATGCCTCGAGGACCCACATTTTTATCATTTTTTACTTTCCCCAACTTGTTAAAAATGCATGCTTGAATTCGCATTATGTCACTTTATGGCTTTCTTAAATGAGAATAACTTTAGCTTTAACCATATTTAGTTCACTTAAGCTGTGTTTTCTCTCTCTCAGTGGAAATGTAAATCCTCAGAGTGGCTGATACCCTCCACTCGGATCATTTGCTGAGTGCTGTGCAATTCCCATTTGTTTGCCTTTCAGTGATTGCACATTAATTACTGAAAGAGGCGATTAAACATCTCTTATTACACCAGGCCTCCTAGGCAGTCCCCACGAGCTGAGCCAGCAGAGCTTGAAAGGGCTCCAAACGCTTATTTACATCCTTCACAACAGTGCAAGTAGCCCAAGCCTAAGGTAAAGTTGCTGCTCTGGCTCTAAGGCCAAACATCTTTGACAAACCAAAGGATCAGTGAGAAAAAGATAAAGTGACAATTACAGTAAACTGCATAAGGGTCAATGACATACAAGTCTGTCCATAATACTCATATAGCAAAACAATATATATATTTTTTTTCTGGCCAAAACATATTTTAAATATATGCTAAATATATAATCTTAAAGGTTAAGCTTAATTAAATATATAATTTTGAAATTGCTATCATATACCAAAATATATTTTGGGGGCAAGAAAATAAATTTCCAATCTTACAATAATCTACATTTAGGTTTTATTCATTATTTATTTTTAATCCAATGTGTTTACACGTTACAGACAACAAATAGATTGTACGTCAAATGTGACGGGAATGTATTTTCTTGGACTTAAATGTATGGTGAGCAAAATATATTTGAAATACTTTTTAAAAAGTATATACATGATTAATATCTTTAAAATATAGATTCAAAAATTGTACAAAAATGGCCAAAAATATATATTGGCTGAAAATATATTACATAAATATATTTGGAACATATTTTAGCAAATATATTACAAGTATATACGAGTAAAGACAAATATTTTATAAATAAATAATAAATAATGCAATAAATAAATTAATGTTTGTTTAATAAGGTTTTGGAAAATATTTATACCATTTTCAATAAGTATTTAAAAATAATGACTCAAAAAATATAATGTGGCGTAGCCATCAAATAAAAAGTGTACTGTAAGTGTACACATCATAATCATTATTTTAAAAAAAGTTTCTAAATAAATAAGTTTAATTTACGTGTATATACACACACACACGCACGCAGCATTTACAATGTTTTTTAAGTAATAGATCTAGGTCTCACCCTGGTTTAGCAATAGCCTCCAATTAGTAGTTTTTGTTACCATGCATAGTGTTCTTTGGTCACTATTAAACTAAATGATTGCCAGCCTATAGTCATAATGTAAGCCGTTTGGCGTGAATTATGACCAAAAATCCATTTACTCTATGTAGCTTTACCTGCAGTATAAGGAGAACCGTGATTAGCGCTTTAAATGCTGCCAGACATGTGGGAGAGACAAGCCTCGTCCCTGCAGTGATTGACGTGACTCGTGTGGCTCTGAATGGCTTTGCTGTCACAGATAAAGGGCCACAGACGAGATCGAAGTGGACAGGCCGCTTTTGTCGTTAGAGAAACTCGCCTCAGCCGGTAAATGTGACGGGAATGTATTTTCTTGGACTTAAATGTATGGTGAGCAAAATATATTTGAAATACTTTTTAAAAAGTATATACATGATTAATATCTTTAAAATATAGATTCAAAAATTGTACAAAAATGGCCAAAAATATATATTGGCTGAAAATATATTACATAAATATATTTGGAACATATTTTAGCAAATATATTACAAGTATATACGAGTAAAGACAAATATTTTATAAATAAATAATAAATAATGCAATAAATAAATTAATGTTTGTTTAATAAGGTTTTGGAAAATATTTATACCATTTTCAATAAGTATTTAAAAATAATGACTCAAAAAATATAATGTGGCGTAGCCATCAAATAAAAAGTGTACTGTAAGTGTACACATCATAATCATTATTTTCAAAAAAGTTTCTAAATAAATAAGTTTAATTTACGTGTATATACACACACACACGCACGCAGCATTTACAATGTTTTTTAAGTAATAGATCTAGGTCTCACCCTGGTTTAGCAATAGCCTCCAATTAGTAGTTTTTGTTACCATGCATAGTGTTCTTTGGTCACTATTAAACTAAATGATTGCCAGCCTATAGTCATAATGTAAGCCGTTTGGCGTGAATTATGACCAAAAATCCATTTACTCTATGTAGCTTTACCTGCAGTATAAGGAGAACCGTGATTAGCGCTTTAAATGCTGCCAGACATGTGGGAGAGACAAGCCTCGTCCCTGCAGTGATTGACGTGACTCGTGTGGCTCTGAATGGCTTTGCTGTCACAGATAAAGGGCCACAGACGAGATCGAAGTGGACAGGCCGCTTTTGTCGTTAGAGAAACTCGCCTCAGCCGGTCTGACAGCCTGCCCTCCCGGACAGTCCACAAGTCAGGCCGATGAAAGACACCTTGGCAGGTAGAGATGTGAGTGAATGGATCCCCTCAAGGGAAGGGAATAGAAACAAGGGACGGCACCTTAATATCCAAAGCTGGAAATACGGCTCGAAATGTGCTTAAACTAGAGTTATGGGACATAATGGATTTTACAACGATAATAAAAGCCGCTCCATCAATGCCAGGAATGATTTTGTAGCGGAGGAAGTTTTGGTTGCAGTGGAGAACTAAAATAAAGGGGGAGTGCTGCCCTCTAGTGGACAGGACATGAAACGCTAAGCAAAGCTAGGCTAGCAAGGTCATAGGTATTGTTTACAGGCAAAAAATGAGACTCTACACACGATATTAAGCCATTTTATCATTTTTTTTTAAAATGATCAAATGTTTCTTAGTTTTTATTAGATTAGATTCAGTGTGTAACCCACAAAAAATGAGTCCTTCAAAGCGTTAAACCATTATAATGATGGTTATTTTACATGTTATGCTAAATAAAATAATCAGGAAGAAAAGAAAATAAGTAGAATGTTTGAAGCGAATTATTTTTGTTACAGTAATGAATGAAAATATACAGTACATCTGGCAAATATGGAGTTGTTTAGTGTTGTATAAGTAGGAAAAGAAGTCAACATCTTATTTGTTATGATGATGCACACAATGAATATTACACAATTTTCTCACATAGGTTCACTACAGTTGAAGCACAATATCTTACAGTTTTTAGCATAATGTCCTCCATTGTTGGCCAAAAAAGGGTGATTCAATTGATATAAAAATATGAAAAGAAAATACTTTAAAAAGGAACAATTACATGATAGATATTTGCACATCCCCTGCACCACTGAAGTTAAACGGAAAGGACAACGTTTATTTAAACACAAATCAAACAGTAGTGGCATTTGTAATAATTTACACAACACATTATGTAATTTTCAAAATCCGATTATGTACCTTGATTCATTCTGCAAATGGGCCTCAACCAAAACAACAAAAGGTTTGTAAAGTACATTGAAAGGTAGCATCTATTTAATGGGATACTTCTGCTGTGATTAACCTTTTTACAATAGATTTCCATCCTATAACTGCCCAAAGAAAATATGCGACTTACTTGACATACAAAGCCCTTATGAATCATATGTACGGACTACATGCATTAGACTCATTCTCTTAAGAGCACATGCCAATGTTACTTCTGTAATACCGTACTTGCTTAGTTATAGCGAATTTATGTCTTATTAAGATAGTATGCTACAAATTTAATTAGATTTTATATGATCAATATATTCTAAATCAAATTTCAAGTTAATTTTGGTGTATGCTGCATATTTTATTTCATATATATATGTTTTGGTACCTTTTATAAGACAATAAAATATGTAGTTATAGTTACTCTTTCAGTAGTTACAAAACTGCTAGTAGAAATATGAATCCCTCCATCCATTCATCATTTATCAATCTCTTTGTCCACTAAACCTTTATGGCTATCTTCCCACGTCAAACCTAAACTCTCAAAACATTATAGTTAACTCTTCCAGTAGTTACAAAAAGGCTAGTAAAAATATGAATCCCTTCATCTATTCATCATTTATCAATCTCTTTGTCCACTAAACCTTTATGGCTATCTTCCCACGTCAAACCTAAACGTTTCATGCCTTTCATGAACAGTTGTGCATCGTGAAACACTTTATTACAGCATAAACTATGGCATTTTTAAAAAAAGAAAAAGCTTATACAATTTTTGTTTGCATTGTGACTACAGTAAATACAGTAAAGGATGTCAGATCCCTCCAAATGTTTGATTTCTTTTACATCATTCATAGTCATCGTCGCTTTTTTTTACGTAAGCTGTACAGAGTGCACGAAAAGAATCGCCTGCAATAATATTTGTTTCTTTAAAAAATGCATGAATGAGAGCAAAAGACACAGATAGGCATCGATGAAGCAAGGAAAGCCCAAGACGGAAAAAAATACATTTTAGTTTTTTGTTATTAGTAACTTGGGTGTTTAAAACACACATAAAACCACCTGCATTAGATACAACACTTCTTAGTTTGAAAAGGCTTTAAGAAAACACAGTTTTGGCCAGTGAGGCAACCTGTTGTTTGTTTGTGGTGATTTACCCTCACTGTAGACGTTGATTAATAACGGGTGCTGCATCTCGCTTAGGCTGGCAGGTGAGTTTGTGGCTTTGAGAGGTGGTTGGCTGTTCGGCCAGTTTGTGGCTTGTGGGTCTGGTTGGCTGTTCGGCCGAGCGTCGTGGTCGGTTGGGGCCGCTGAATCTGAAATTTCAGAGTAGGCGACGATTCTTTTTGGTGGTTCAAACCCTGAAAGATAAAACCACATAGCAGCTTCTTAAAGGAACAGTGCATCCTCATGTCATCCCAAACCTATTCCAAAATACAGGTTTGAAACAATATGAGGGTGAGTAAAAAAAACTAAAATAATAAAAACAACAACAACAGAATTTAATTTTTTTATATTGCCTTGTATGGACAAGTATTTGATTATATAAGTTCAAAAATAATTATAATGTAAAATCAAGAGTTAAGAATTAAATTAAGAATTAAATTAATAATAAATGTACAATTATAATTTAATTATTTATTTACTTAATTAAAAAAAAAATTAATTAGCAGTTAAAAAAACATTTAAGCTGAATTTTCAGCATAATTACTCCAGTCTTCAGTGTCACGTGATTCTTCAGAAATCATTCTAATATGCCGAGTTGGTGCTCAATAAACATTTATTATAATTATCAATATTGAAAACAGTTTTTGCTGCTTAATACATCTGTGGAAACTGTGATACACTACCATTTAAAAGTCTGGTAAGATTGAAAAAAAAAAAAAGCAGCAAAAATTGTTTCCAGCATTGATTATAATAATAAGAACCATTATTAATTGAGCACCAACAATAATCCTTTAACTGAGCACCAAATCAGCATATTTTAATGATTTCTAAAGGATCCAGACACTGAAGACTAGAGTAATGGCTGCTGAAAATTTATTTATTTTAAATTGTATTCATATTTCAAAATATAACTTTTTGTACTTAATTTTTGATTAAAAAATGCTTAAAAAAAGATTACTTTTGAAAAATTATTTAAAAAAACGTAATTATTCTAAACATTTGATCATTAGTGTATCCAATTATTGTTTTTTATAATTTTCCAAGAAATGTAATTTTTTAAAATTTATAATCAGCTCATGTGGCTGTGTAAATGGCTAATAATCTAAAACTCCAAAGTACCCTGGTAAATAACTGTCTGCTCAACATCAGAAGGGACTCCAATTCAGCAGATGGTCTCCAGGTGACACTGGTTCTGTAAGAAATTTTCAAGCGAAAGAAAATGACATTCACTTTTAAGATAACACAACAGAGACAATCCAGATGAATAAAGGTTGGTTGTTGATTCTTTGAGAACAATAACAAGATGTGAAGGTAATGAGGTCACAATACCAGAGATGTGTTAGGAGTCATCGGGTAGGGTTAGTCACGCTGGAGGAACTGTATATAGAAACAGAGCTTGCCTTTACCGTGTCATTCCACTGATGTGGAAGGTCCTCTGGCTCTGGAGGGTAGGACATCCAAGACGGGCTCCGGTAGGAGGACGGTGGAGACAGGACGAAGTAGTCCGAGTAGCCGGGCCGGTTGGCAGATATGGCATATACTGCTGTCATTGGGTTTCCTGTAAACGTTGAAAGGCAGATACAAATGTTTTTTGACATCTTTGGAAACCAAAAATCTCCCAAATTGATACAAAATGTGGTATTATAATAACATTTACCAAAACACACTGACCTGAGTAGCTTGTCATAGACTCGTCGACAGTGACAGCAGGGAAAGGAGCTCGGTTGATTGGCAGGTAGGGGGTGCCATTGTGCTGACTCATTTCTGAGGCCTCAGAGACACAAGGCTTCAGATTCATGTCTGGTGTGGAGCTACAAGAAGAGATGAAGTCTTGTTATAATGTGATCAAACCACCAGGGGGCAACGCTGGCCGGCATCGCCTCAGAGCCGCATAACACACCTCAATGCAGTCAGCAGCACTGACAACCATGCAAAGCACCTTTAATGCATGCCAGCCACAGCATCTCAGAGGAAAAAATCTTATTTAAATATACATGAGGCTCATCTCAATAACGCTGGCAATGTGATGCTGTAATGCTATGTGCTATGACACTGTCAGGGAGGAAAAATGTGCAAAAAACCTTGTCGTTGGGACAGTACCGTCCCTCAGATGTTCATAAACATCAGCTGGAAATGTATTTCTACCAAATCTACCTCTAAAGCGCAAAGTGACAGTCAATGATCATCAGAGAAACTGATAAAGCAGTTAAGAAAAAATTTATTAATTAAAAAAGTTAAATCAATAGATATAATTTGAAAAAAGTCAAATCAATATATCATCATTATTCACATGTGGGTAAGTATTTGCTATTAGATTTATTTATATATATTTAAAAATTTTGATAAACAAGCAAACTAAATATTTTACTAATTACTAATTGAAAAATATTGCTGAATAAAAATAGAAAATAATTAAAATAATTCTGTTAATTTCTCATAACAAAATGACTAATTAATGCATTTTTAATTTGTTCAAATTGAGGATCGTTGATTCTTAATTTATCTACATGCTAAATGTTCATTTCTTGATTGATTAGTTCTTTTCTAAATTTGATTTATAATTTTTTTTTCTCCAAATGATCACTGACACATTTGGCCTGCCATAAATGGATACATATATTATGTACCTTTTAGGTAGATATGATACAAAACCACACTAAAACACAACAAAACAAAATGTACAAAAATCCAAATACGAGTATGAACATGTATTTTAAGGTTTCTCTCACCATTTTAGAGAAGTATATAATTAATATAAAATACATCTATATAATTAAAATACGAAAAATTATTTTGTGCAAATGCTTTTAATTTATAATATAATATAATATAATAATATAACACAAAAATTAAATACAAAAGATTATTTTGCACCAATGTGAGCAAATGCTATCAAATTTATAATATAATAAAATATAAAACAAAAATAAAATATATATTTAAGTTTAGTTATATATTTTTTAATTAATTTTATGCTTGATTTTGTAGCATGCACTTAAACAATGCTATCAATATATTAATATAATATAATAACAAAAATAAAACACACATATTTAAGTTTAGTTATATATTTTTAAATGAATTTTTTGCTTGATTTTGTAGCATGTACTTAATGCTATCAATGTAATATAATAGAATAGAATATAATATAACACAGAGATAACATATATATTTAAGTTTAGTTATTTTTTTAAATTAATTTTATGCTTGATTTTGTAGCATGCACTTAAACAATGCTATCAATATATTAATATAATATAATAACAAAAATAAAACACACACATATTTAAGTTTAGTTATATATTTTTTAATGAATTTTTTGCTTGATTTTGTAGCATGTACTTAATGCTATCAATGTAATATAATAGAATAGAATATAACACAGAGATAGCATATATATTTAAGTTTAGTTATTTAAAAAAAAATTATTTTATGCTTGATTTTGTAGCATGCACTTAAACAATGCTATCAATATAATATAATATTATATAATAAAATATAATGCAAGGTATTTTGAGGTTTCTCTCACCATCTTAGTGAAGTTCCAGGTGGGGCTCCACCTCTTGGAGGGATGAGGGGTGGCGGGGAACCCAAACCCATATCAGGCAGCTGGGTAAACCTGAACCCCTGCAGAGCCAAGCACAATCACCAGTGAACTTTCTAAATACTTATATGGTGACATGTATCAACATATCACCCTATATGCCCAAAATACAAACAATCAAATGAACTGCAAACATGAGTGGCGTTGAAGACTGGCACTCACTGGTTTGGGGAGGCTACACTGGTGCATATCCGGCCCAAAGGAGGAGCCGCGCTGTAGAGCTCCACTGGGGTGGTTCATAGTCCCAGGTGCGCTGGTAACTCCGTCCAGGTAAGGGCTACCGTGGCTGGGGTTGTACGGACTGTGAGGGTGGTGGTGATGGTGGTGGTGGTTGCTCGGGGTTGGCTCGGCAGAGGCCAAACCAAAGGCGTTGTCCAAGAGGAGGTGCATCTGCTGCCTCACTTCATCGATCGAAGGCTGCGAGCTCAGGGTGGACGAGTCGGAGTGGCCTTTGACCTGGTGACCACCACCGAAACCCAAGGAACTTAGAAGGCGGTCCACATCTGTCTCTTCAAATGGCTCGGGCTCACCCTGAGGTGGGTTCAGTGATGAGACATCATCAAATAACTAGTTAAATAATCTACTCATTTTTTGTTAAAACTTTTCAGGTTGAGATGTTTCAAAGTGCTGAAACTTTCCATTAATTTCCAGTTTTAATTAAGATTTTAAATCACTTTTTTTTTTTTAGAGAAGACTTCTGGATACTTTTGTAGGTCAACTGCATTGCAAATGCTCTGAAAACTCAGCACTTTTAAAATCTCAGCACAATCACGGCTATTATCCAATATCACATTTCCAATCTAAATCTAGGAAACGAAATATTATGTTAATTACTAATATATATATATAAAAAAAAAACATATTTTAGTTTCCCTCTAATGTCTGTACCCTTAAACATCAGTTGAAAATGTATTTCTACCATACCTTGGCAATGTGATCATCAATAATGTGACAATTGAGAAACTGATTTCTATTAAGAAAAAAATAAATCAATATACTAATTGAAAAAAGATAAATACATTTATAAATAAATGATATTAACATGTCAATATAGAATTTGCTATTTGTTAAAAAAATGTTTAACATATTTCAAAAATATTTTATTCATAAAAATGTAGATAAATATGCAAATAAAAGCTAAATATTTTACCAATTACTACTACAGAAATGTTAGTGATAAAACTAAAAACAATGAAAATTATATTTTTAATTTCTCATTACAAGATACATTTTTTTCATTTGTACAAATGTAAGAGATTCTTAATTTATCTACATGCTAAATTTTTTTATTATTGGTTTATAATAGTTTTCTATTGATTAATCGATTATTCAGTTGAATTATTGATTTCTTAAATGTTTTTTATTATTATTTACAGCCACATGATTATTTACAGTCAGATATGATACATTATATATATATTCTAGTGCTGTCAAACGATTAATCGCGATTAATCGCATCCA